ACCCCCTGCAGCAAGTCCAAAATCAAGAGGCCGAGTTAGCAAACTCGGCAAGTGGATTTTGAGGCCTCTTATGATGATCGTACATGACGAAAGTGCTGTAAATACCGAGTAAAACGGATGTGCTCTTAAGATGGTTTTAGGCAAGTGTAGTTGGTAGGGGGGGCGCCTACTACTACTACTACTACTACTACTACTACTACTAGTACTACTGGTGCTGCTACTACTACTACTACTACTACTACTACTACTACTATTACTACTACTACTACTACTACTACTACTACCACCTACTACTAGTACCACCACCACCACCACGACGACGACGACTACTACTACTACTACTACCACCACTACCACCACCACCACGACGACTACTGCTACTACTACAACTACTACTCCTCATACTACTCCTCATACTACTCCTCATACTACTCATAGATGGACACAAGAACGCAGGAATGACTGAGCAAGGACCATAACGAGCAAGGGCCATTACAGTCACCAAAAGTATGTCGATGAGTCCAGACGAACATCGGCGGTTGATATGTTAAAGCCGACCGTAAAATTCGTAAAACTATCATTCTCTGACAGTGTTGTTGTGATCGATGACTTCGATGGACTCTAGAGTTCCCGATCCGTGAAGCGGTTGGCTGTAAGTTTTGGGGCTTGGGTTTCGGGCTGCGGAAACCCTAAAGTGCAATTCCTGAAACCTAAACTCCCTAAGCCCCAACCGGAGCCTTACGCGGAAGATCGGGTTGAAATCTTACAAGCCCCAATAAAGATCCATCCGCCCTCACCTGGAGCAGGGTTTTCCCGGAAGTGCTCTCAGGCTCTCTGCTCGCACGATTGGACCGAAGGGCCGTCGAAGGCCGTTTCGGAGGTTTCGGTTTAACAAGTAAGGACAGGGTTTAGGGCGAGGGCTTGTGGGCTTTTCCAGGATTGGGGGGCAGGGTTCACTCTTTTTGGGAGCTGCATTCTGAGGGCGTATGCTTTGAGATATTTGTTTTTACTTCTTTTGTTGTTTCGAATGATATGCTTGGAAGCACGACCATCACCATCACCATCTCATGTTCCGGCTTTTGAGCGTCTTGGATGTAAAATTCTGTAAACCCTGAGCTAGTTTTTGGAAAGGCAAGGATGAAGATCAGAACCCAGTTAGTCCCCTAAGCCCTAAACCCTAAACCCTAAATGAACTAAGCAGGGTACCCTAAACCCTAAACCCTAAACCCTAAATGAATTAAGCAGGGTACCCTAAACCCTAAACCCTAAACCCTAAATGGGTCGCTGCGGAAGGGAAAGAGGGAACCTCTGACCGCTTTGTCCGGCTGAGGCGCATTTGTTGCGTTCGTGTAGGTTTGGGGCTTATAGGGTTTAGGGGTTTAGGGGTTTAGGGTTTATAGGGTTATAGGGGTTTAGGGTTTAGAAGTTTAGGGTGTAGGGAAATGGTGCCCAAATCCTAAGTCCCAGGCCTAACTCCCATTTCGGGAAGCCTAAAGCCCTGAGCCGCAGGCATTGTTCGCCGACTCTACGCCACGCTGCAGCCCGGAACTCGGGAGACTTCCCGTGGGTTTTAGCGAGTCATGGGGATTGTTGTGGGTGCTTTTGGGGGTTCTGGGGGTTGATGCAGAAAGCAGGCGGTGATGCACTCTGTACTCTGTAACGCCATCATGCTGTCTGCTGCAGCCCAACGGGAAGGACGAGTTACCAGGGGAGAGGTCCATTCGATGAGTGGAAAGTGTAGAAGTGGCCCCATTCCACAGCGGCAGGCTGCTTGTTTCGCGATTTACTTGTGGCACCCCGAGGCGCAAGAACCAAGAAATTGCACAGCTTGAGACGGAGGCAGGGTGGTGATCACAGAATTCGTGGTCTTTCTTGGCAAGTGTCCCCGTTCTTTTATTGGCAGCCGATTTCGCTGTGCAGCTCGGCAAAGCAGATGCCCTGAAATGATGCCCCTTTGATCCTCCCGAGCCCCCCTCTGGGCTGTGTGCCCTTCTCCTCTTGCAACATCAGGCCGCTGGCAGCAAGAAGATCAAAGGGCCAGGCCACTCCTTGTTGTTTAGGGTTTAGGGGTTAATATCGGGGCTTTAATAATTACCTATGCTAATTTGGGGGGCTTTCCTATTATAATTATGGTATAATATACCCCAAAGCCAGATTCTAATTACTAAGTCCCCTACAATAGGAGCGTTTAGCATCTTTATGCCTAGAGATGAAGGGCAGCATCCAAAGGCCTCAAAGACCAGAGCTGACCTCGACAGTTCGTGCGCAGCCTCGTGCTGCTTACGAAGCCTAAGGTCGCGCTGTCAAGCCTTGTTACTATAGGGGCCCAAATAATTACCCATACCAGTTTAGAGTTCCTGAATTATAATCATGGGTTAGTAGATCCCATGCCATTTTAGGGTTCCGTATTATCATCATAGGCCCCAAAAACCTTACTCCAGTTGTCAAGGCCCCTTTCTGAAGGCACTTCATCCTTGAACGGAGCACCTCACCGGTCAACTACATGGTCGGCCCTAGAAACCCTAACAGCGAAGCCGCTTCTGCACGGAAACCCTGCGACGGTTTCGGTTTAGGGGTTTAGGGTTTAGGGTTTATAGGGTTTGGGGTTAACGGTTTCTGCACTGAAGCCCCGAGACGGTTAGCCAGGAGCCGGGCGTTCAACGTCGCTCCCTGGGCAACCGAAGCTTGGAAGCGAAGGTTTGCAGGCACTGACTAATGCTGAACACAAACAACAACAATATTCGTAATAAAAGCAATTAAACAATATGACAAATTAATAATAGTAGTTTAAAGTTACTAATGATAAGATAATAATAGTAGTAATAATAAGAGCAGCAACAACAATAGCAAGATAATAGAACTACTTTTAGTTGTAATCCGAAGTTCAGTCAGGGCCTTGCGTCGGTGTTGCAAAAGAGGAGTTTCGCTAAAGGCTGAACGCTCGAACTTAGCCGTAGCTGTGGAGCAAATCCCTGAATCTGCAACTTCAGATCTCGCACCGAAGCAGGGGATATCTGAGACTCATTCACCCGAATGCAACTCAGAGTTTAGAGTTTAGGGTTCAGGGTTTAGTGGTTTCGAGTTGTGGTGGCTTACAGTTGATGAGGCAGCTCATGTATCTGTCGGAAGCTGCGGGGCTTGCCAAGGAAGCGCCGCTTGCAGTCCCCTCGTGCGCAGATCTCAGCCATGATGTTTTCGCACCCGGTTTAGGGTAATGGTGGCCACGCTAAGCTAAGACTTGCGTGCAAAAACTTTAGGATGCTGCTGACCAGCAGCTGGGTAATATGAACACTGGCAAGAATGGTGGTGTCGAAAGTCAGAACAGCAAGCAAGGTAGTGCTAGATCAATATTATGATGCTAGCGGTCATGGCGAGCACTATTGTCATGATTCCTATGCTCATTTGTTTTGGATTCGTATTGTAACAATATATGTTGATATTTGGCTTAATTTTCATACTCCTTGGAAAAGAATCATCATCATGGCGGCTCACCAAACAGCTTCGACGACAGAGGCTTGAGTTGGACAACGGTCTGGTGACAAGGGCCTCTTGCAAATCTTTCTGGAACAGTTTGCTAGAAGCCCCATGTGAATGTTTAGAGTTTAGTTGTCTGATTCATAGGGATGCTGTGCGACTCGATGTAGAGTCATCTTGAACGGGCATCATGTGGATATCCGGCGCTCAATCCTAAAGCATTTCTTCTTTCTGAGGGCGACTCGCAAACTCTGCCGGGAGCTGTCGAAAGCCAGTCGAAGGACAGGGTCAATCTCGTGCGCGAAATTAAATTTTGGTGGGGACCGAATAGACTACCAAAAATGTTCCCTTGTTGAGCCTGCTTCGGCCGTTGTGTTAACGGGAACGGGCTCATTCAAGCCCATAGGCAGCAATTTGAGACAGTGTTCGTGCATGTGCCCTGAGCATGTGCTGCTGCCAGGACTCGCTGGTTGCGCCCAGGACCTATGTCGCTGGAGCTTCTATCTTCGATGCAGAACACATGCAATAGCTGCCGGAAGGAGCATGCCTCATGACTTGCTTGCATGTGCCGGCGCACCTTTACTAGGAGTCCTCGCGACAGTTGTCGCGACCTTATTGAATTGGCTTTTCAGCTCCGTGGCAGATGTCTAACGGTCTAACGTCATCTTTATGCCGACGTCGCAGCACTACATACTCCGGTTGTTAGCTTGCTCACCGCAGCTGTCGAAGGCATTCGAAGGCCGCCTGCAGGTCTGCTTTCAGGCTCTCTTCGTCCAGAAGCCCGACCTCTACAACCACTCACACCAAAGCCCCACCTGCCAGCTCAAGACCACCCCTAAACCCTAAACCCTAAACCAGCTCTTGAGCAAAATGAAAGTCACAAGGCCTCGGAACACTTAGCTCCAGGCAGGCATAGGCAGGCCTTGTAGTTCAGGACCCGCTCTTTTCCGCCGCCTAATCTAGGGGCCTGAATGATCAGAACAGGCTTTTGGGGTATATTATATAGACGATATTATACTATGGCTATAACTATAATAAGGAACGCCCCCAAAAGCCCTATTCTAATTATTCAGGCCCCTACATGAATGCCGAAACCTCGATTGTTGCAGACTTCTCGGCCAAAGGTGCCTCGGGAACCTTGTTTTCGCCTCGCAGGGCCAAGGCGTCCACTCTGCAGAGGGCCTTTAATATAGGGGCCTTAATACTTAGAATAGGGTTTTGGGGTCTATTCTACTATACTTAGAATAAGGAACCACCAACATAATCCTAAGCCCTACATTATCTGCAGGGGGTTGAGGGTTGAGAGCGTCACAGTGAAGAGTATTCCGGGTGTGCATCTTTCAGCGCGACGGCCGAGTCTCTTCTTGGCTTCCGTTTCTCCTGGTAGACATGGTCTGTCGGATGCACTGAGAGGAGCAGATCAAAATGAAGCTGCAGAGACGGAGGGCAGAGGTCTAGGGCCCCTAGGCTTCCATCGCTTCGCGGCAGGTTGGGATCAGGCAGAGGGGCAGATGTTGCTAGCCTTGCAGCCAATTTAGATTTGCCAGGAAGGCGGCCAGTACCAAAGCTTCAAAGCGATGCAGGACTGGGTTTAGGGGCCTGGTCTTGCAGAGAACCGGGGGCAGCAGCCGCGCGCCTGCTAGATGTTTAGCCAAAGTGGGGGCCTGCATAGAAGGTCCGAGAAGACTTGATCCGTCGTAGTCACTGCCTCTAGTCTGGAGATTCGCATCGACAACGGCGCAGAGGCCTCCTGTGCTCTTATTGTTCATATTCTCGTACACTGGAAAACTGTGCGGCCAAAATATGCTCTCCATTTCAATGAAGGAGCAGCAGCAAGCCGAGTATTTAAAGTTCCTGCAGGAGCTGGACCCTCAGACGGTGATTCCAAGAGTTTAGGATTCACGTATCAAGTCTCGATGAAATATCCCCTCATGTAAATGTCCATGTTAGTCCCGCAGGGGGTAGTCTGCTTGTACCAATTTTTTGCCACTCTGTCAAGGAGCCCCGCCACCTTCCTGTAGTGGGTTGCAGTGAAGTTGTTTCAGAGAGGTCTCCGAGTTGAAGATTGAGACAGTACGATGGTTGTAGCTATTATATAGTACACTGCACTTGCAGTGCCCTCTCCTCTGCAGTTCGGTGAAGTTACACTGCATCATTCAAGATAAAATTTGTAGAATGTCATCAGTCTGGATTGCAGTGCCAATCAGGCGAGCGGGCTGCCGTCCAGAGGCAACGCGCATTGCTTTGAAGTATTTTGAAGTGTGGCATGCGCAAGATATGGGGGGTTTCCGAAAATAGGGGCCCCTAATATAGTACCCCAAATAGTAGGATCCTTATTCTAAGGAGCCCAAAACAAGGTACCCCTAATTTGCGGAAACTCCCATGTGCTAGAAGGAGAAGCCGTAGAGTCAGATTGAGACTCAAGGCCTCAAGCCCATGGGTTTAGGGTTTAGGGTTTAAGGTTTAGGGTTTAAGGTTTAGGGTTTAGGGTTTAGGGTTTAGGGTTTAGGGTTTAGGGTTTAGGGTTTAGGTAATCCCCTCAGCTTCCTGAACTCGGAATCCCTTGCCCCCCAGACCCTAAAGCCGAAACCCAGTATAAAATCCTCCGCCAGGAGGGTAGCCCTCGCGGGTCGACGTCTCCGCGTGACTCCGCCCGGATGCCTCAGGTAGGGATGCTGCGGTTTTTCATAGTTCCCGGAGGGCTCTGAGGTAATATAGGGGCCTGCATGATTACCTACGTTATGTTGGGGTTCCTTATTAGAGCTACAGTATAGTATACCCCAAAACCCCATTCCAATTATTAAGGCCCCTACATCAAGGGGTTTGGGGCTTGAGGAGCTCCTGGGGGTCAGTGTTCACTATAAGGCTTACTAGAAGTCAAGAAGGGTTACTATCAGGGCCACCAGAAGGCTTGCTTCCAAAATTTCTATAACGGCTGCTACAAGGCTCACTAGAAGGGATACTGTAAGGGTTGCTACAAGGCTTACTGTAAGGGATGCTAGAAGGCTTGCTATAAGGGTTTGTGCAAGGGCACAGTGTTTTTGCCGGTCATTCACGGGCCATCACTAGAGCGGAGGCGCGTAGCTGTTGCGCGGGCTGAGTAGATGCATGAGGGTTTAGGGTTTAGAGTTTAGGGTTTAGGGTTCAGATTTTAGGGTTTAGAGTCTAGGGTTTGGAATTTAGGGTTTAATTCCCAGGACCTTCCCTTGCACATGGGTGGCTCGGTTGTCTCTTATGTCTTGACACTCCCAGCCCTGAAGCCCAATAGCCCGGAAGCCCAGTAGCGAATAGCCGTAAAACTAAAAATCCAAAGCTGCAAAAGCCCCAAGCCTTCTGCGCAGGTGTTTCGTCGCCTCACCGCCCCCGCTACACCGCCTTCCGACCAGGCATGAGGGACTCGGTGCTAGTTGTGGGGTGATAGGGTATTCTTGGATGTGCCGCATTTGGTAGTACTTCAGGTGATTTTGACAAGAGCTCTAAAGGCCCGTCGTTGTTGTAGTGGTAGCAGTGGTGTGTGTCTAGTCGGGGTGGTGGTGGTGGCGGTGGTGGTGGTGGTGGTACTAGTACCAGTACTACTACTAGTAGCTTGTTGATGTCGCAAGTCCCGAAGGTTTTCTGAATCCCCTAAAGGCCCTAAACCCTCAACCCTAAAACGCCCAAAAATGGCAAACCCTAAATTAAGGCCCTAAACCCTCAACCCTAAAACGCCCCAAAATGGCAAAAGCCGTTGCCAGATGGCGCGCATCGCCGTCGCCCACATGGGAGCAAACAAGGCGCAGGTGTCTTTCGGAGGCCAGGTCCAGGGTGGGGGGTTGGGGGTTTAAGGGTTTCGGGGTTTGCGGGGTTTCGGGGGTTTGGGGTTTCGGGCTTTAGGTTTCAGTCGTGAGGGCATCTTTGCATTTGTAGTTTCATTCATAGACAAGTTTGTCTTAGTTTCGCTTTGGTGCTTGACGGGTCTTAGCACCGGAGTCGGGATCCTCTGGTCTATCCGCTATAGCTCCATACTGTCAGTATGTTACTTGCAGTAGATGCTTCCTTCGGGGTCTGAGAGTATTCTGCTTTCACTTTCAGTGTGGTGTCTTTCAGGTTTCAGGCGGTAACAGGGTCTCATTTGTCAATCTTGCGGAGATGGGCGCCACCATCCCCGGCATCTCGGTGCAACGAGACCTCCTCGGCTCCGTTTCACTTGGCTCCCCGACTAATGGACGGGCCTAGATCAATTACCAATTCTATTTTGGGGGGGGGTTCCTTATTATGAATATAGTACAATGGGCCCCAACACCCTGTTCTAATTATGAAGGCCCCGACATTAGCTTGGGCTGAGGTATGGCAGTGGTGCATGCAAGCAAGGCGGTGGAGAAGCCACAGGATTAAGCAGGACTCTCCCGTTTTCACTGCATCGTTGCCATGCTCTACAAGATGCGATACCCCAACATCTTAAGCCCGAAAGCTACACCGGAAGATGGCTTAGCGGCTTCGCAACAGGTGCACTTGCCGAGAGTTCGGATGCTTCCCAGTATCTGGACGCGCTGCTTGAGGCGCACAAGGGAGAACGCGAGGGCTGAGTCACGAGGAGCTCATGATTTTAAACTTCTGGAGTGTATCTGTTCGGGAGCAGAGAGGTCGCTTGAGACCGAGACTTCGGGAGTATGCACGGGCTGCAGGAACACAGACCCAGGAAATCCGAAGCTTACCCTTTTTCTCATTTAAGCCCGGGCTCTCACCGTCGCCGATGATCCGGTTGTACCCGAACAGGCACACCACTCGGAAGTTGCAGCACGTGCGGAGGCAGGTCGAATGAGCTGGCAGAGGGGCTTTGCAGATGGTTTACTGTATGGCCTAGACGACTAAGTAGCGCTGATCTTGTTCAGAGTGTAGGGTCTATAGTTCAGTCATGCATCTTTTGCAACAGTCTTGGCTGGTGTAGTGCTAGACCTCTCTGGACACGCAGTGAACATAAGCATTAAAGCTTAGGGCATTGGACAGCCCTGCGTTTCAGGATCTCACAACCTACATCAAGCAATCGCCGCGGGTCTCCGAGGCCGTGTTGCGCAAGGGCAATGCTTCTCTGCCAAAGGTGCTTTCAATTCCAATTGAGCTTATGCTGCGGAAGTGTATAAGTTCAAGATGCAATCTGGCTTGCTTGTTGCTTCGTCAGTACGAATAATTTTGTACCATGGCTATTGGCATGCTGCTGCTAGTAGTGTCGGGTTCAGTTCTGATGGGTTTTTGCTGCTGCGCTGTTTCGTGGTTCTATAATTTTTCATCCGGACTATCGGTATACTGGAAATCTTACCGTGTCCTTACTGCTGAGAGGTTGCACCATACACTGCTTCTCGATCTTCGTCACCTAAAACCTTCAAGCATCATCAGCCCAGGCCGATAGACTTGAGAAGCGCGCAGGAACACTGCTTCTCGATCTTCGTCACCTAAAACCTAATGCCCACGCCGACAGACTTGAGAAGCGCGCAGGAGAAAGCACGGGAGATTTTCGACCGGTTGTGGCTTCCTGAGCATGCAGCTGCTCTCTGCAGACACGGCTGGTGTAGCTGGCCTCCTCCATGGAGCCATTACGCACCATCTTGAGCTCTGAGGTACAAGAACGGCAAGGATGCTCGTGTGAGGCCGTTACAGATGGTTTGAGTATTTTTCTGTATGTACATATACATATGTATGTATATATATATGTATATGTACATACATGTATACTATAAGATTAAGAACCCTGATATCACACAGACTGATCGTCAGGTGGAGGGCAAAGGCAGCAAGTATCCACACGTTCTTGCCATTCATGCAACCGCAACTGTTACCACATAAACAGGGTGAGCACAGTATCCCACCAACATGACAAGGCCAGCTGCAGTAGGATCTTTGTGCGCAAGACTGGAATCCCCTCGTAGGTCCTTTAATGCCCCTACATCCGAAGTCCCAGAGCTCCGGAAGAACCCAGTGAACCCCGAACTCCCTCTATCCATGCATAAATACGTCTTCGAAGATCCTGTACGCCGTCATTTGTCTAGTAGCTAAGTACGCGGCCATTCGTCTAAGCCTGAAGCCATGAAAACTCTGCAAGCAAGCGCCCTGGTCCGCAGACGGCGCGTCTACGCAGAACTCGGCCTCCTCGTGGCTTGTATGCTCTTGAGACCAGGGCTGCTTTCGACCATGCCGGGCTCAGCGTTTCTTTCAGACCCTTTCTACCCAATTCTACCCTGGATCTGTTTCTCCTCTCTGCAACATAAACCCTAAACCCTATGCTTCTTTCGCTTTGACAGGGAGGAGGCTTGGCTTTCTGGGTGTTGGAGCTTTGCTCTTCGGGCCGAGGTTTGCCGGGGTCAAGTGATACTTTTCCAGACCCTGCAGGCGTAACTCACATCCAATCGCCACTTAAGCATGAGACCCCATGCGGTTTCTTACAAACAGTGTTTTAATTAAAGCCAATCGCCACTTAAACATGAACTCCCATGAGGTTTTAATTCAAAGCAAATTGTAATTAAAACCGACCATTACTTAAACATGAAACCCCATGAGTCGCGTTCCCTCAAGCCTTGCTGACCATCCTTGCGGCCCTGAGCCCCGCATCCCAAACCCTGGGGTCTCGTCGCTCGCAACAGGTCGAATCAGACTATAATTGTTGTATATATGCCAACATATCTGACAACGATGGCTACGCCGCCACCACTACCACCACCAACAACAACAGCAACAACCACAACAGCAA